ACATTTATGCATTGCCTTTGTCTCAAGAAGAAAACTATATGCATTATACTAATACGTGTGTGAAGAGCACCCCTGGTGTTACGCCTAAACGTCAGATAATCACGCTAAAAAGCATCTAGTGTAAAACTATAATTCAGATAAAAAATTGATAGAGGCAATGAATTTTTTTAATACAAAAATTTAATTATAGCGTAATATTTGTTTCGTTTCACTTTCAAAAACACTTAAAGACACATAAAACAATTATGTTTATGCAAAATTGCGTTTTTTTTTTTGGTTTCTGATTCAGTCCTGAGGGGCATTAACGCGTTTGTTATTTTATCACTTTACAGATTACCGGATAACCGAGTTACCGATCAACGTTGAAATATCCCTAGTATAAATTTTTTTATATATCTGTGCAGCTTTTTTCTTTTATCGTAGTGAAATCCAAAAATGATATAAACTTTTCCAAAATTTCACTCATCTTTCCTCTGCAGAAAGTTTTAACTCGGAGCACCAATCTTAAAACAAAAAAAAATATTATCAGATGCAAATCGATCGTTTTGAACTTATCGCACTGCATCAACAGTCGATTGAAAAGCAGATAATGAAGCGGAAATATGGCTGTCTGGGACATACCCTGGTTAACCGGTTAGTGAATTTGAACACTCAGCATTAGAATGAAACCCACAAAGTAGAAGGAATCGTGGACGGCCAAAAAGCACATGGAGATGATCGATAAACAGGGAGTTTAGAGCAGGGCTGTCCAGTCCACTGTACAGATTGGAGGGCCACAGAAACATATATAATACATACGTTCATAGTTGCTTTTGACAAAAATTAAAATACGGCTGTAATGTTAAACTCAGTTTTATTAATTTAAATTCATTTATTTGGTATACCATAAAAATAATAAAAAATAATGTAGTTTTACCAGTACACCAAAAGAAAATTTGGGTGAATGTAGTAGATTAAAAACATGTCGCGGGCCGCACAAACATTAGCCGCAGGCCGCATGTAGTCCGCGGGTCGTGCTTTGGACAGCCCTGGTTAAGAGCATTAACGAGTAATAGTGGTGTCTGGAAAGCATATGTGAATAGACTAAGTTCTGGAATTGTGATTGTAATTTATAGAACATGTCATAATAATATAATAATAAACTGAAGTCAACAGAAAAATAACGAATAGTTTTTCCTAAAACCGATGTTTAATATTATATATTAAATGTAAAGGCAATATAATCAGAATACATGTTAAGAATATATTTTGATACATGAAATGCAGTATAAATAATATAAATAAAACATTCTACTCTGCTCACTCAAAGAAGAAAAGTCAACTTTATTTTTGTGCGAGTATAGCGACAAAAAGTCTGGATTTATATTCTGTCTTTTGTTAAAAAATGAATGTAGTGCCAAATTTTATTGTTAAAGTTTTGTGTGGTGGCATCGTTCAGATTGTTATATCGCGTTGATACGATGAGGCAACATTTTATCAAATATTTTTCGTTTCTTGCGTTCAAAAGTGTGAATCGAAAAATAGCACAAAAATAAATTTTTAAAATAACCTGAAAAACTGCACAGATGTTTACTTGTGAACAGCGAGCGCATTGTCTTTTCAACAGATGCCGCCAGCCGCCAGCCGCCAATGCAGCGTAGTAAACGACCTACATCCAATGTAAAACTGCTCAGATAGTAATAGAAATCTGATGTTTATCCGATTGTTTCTTCAGATCGAACTTAAAACCTGAAGATTCCAGTACGTTTTGCATCTATCTTCCATCTTCCATCTTTTCTTTTGTAAACTTTATTTTTCTATAAAAGTATTCGCATACGCGAGAGAGTAGGGTATACCAAATTTTAAAATCGGAATGTAAGATATTTCGGTTTAATTTGGTGCGGATCGTTATTTGTGTAGCGAAACGATAATATTACCCATTTGTGCCAAATTTATATAAATACAGTGATATAGTGATATATTGTAAAAATATTTGAAAACTTTAGTTGATGTTGCAAATCAGAGAGGATGGCGGAACGTACTTTTTAAAAGTTGTCAGCTATTTTTAGCGATTCAAGAATTTAAATTGCACAGATTTACAAAAATCCATCTCTGCAATTGATGGCTTTAAATTGTAAATCACCGGGCAGCAGATCAACAACTGTAGAGTCAGCAGAGTCAGCAGAATCAGCAGAGTCAGCAGAAGGAGAACCAAAGACACAATAAAATTGATCTGAAAATATCATAAAATCAATAAACGTTCTGACACTCGTCAGTGCGGTCACATCTTATCAGTGTGGGAACATTTCGCGTGCCGTGTTCTCCACGCGTCTGTTTCTAAATAATTTTTAGAAACGGAAAGCTTTAGTGAGATCGGAGTGTTTTTGATCGAAATTATTTTTGGTGTCTTATTTATTTATTTTATTTTTGACGGAATTTCATGAAGCAGTGCATGAACTTGTTATCTCTAATATTAATTCTTGACGTTTAGAACATTAAATACTCAATTTTGCTTTAATATCGCGAAGAAAGTATTTGTTTGTTTAATTTGTTTGTCATTATTTTTGTTAAAAATATAAATAATTTGAATTATGTTTAAAATAATAGGATTTTTAAAAAAATTAAACAATATATAAAATTATATATACAAATAGAAGTGAATATATTACTAATAAATTAATCGCATTGGTGAAGATTAAGCTCGCATACAATTATATCAAAAAATATATACATTTAATATTGTGTATATTAAACTGAAAAGGTAATATATTGATATTTCAAACGGTGTATGAATATTTTTTACAAATTAAATTTTATATATGTGTAATTACATATATTTCGATGCATGTGTATTATATGCTATGTTATTTTACGGAAAGTAATAAATTAAAAAAAAAACGCTAGTCAACACATTCTATTAGAAACAAATATTGATTCCCTTAAGAATGTTATAATTGTCTGCAGACAAGCTAAAGATTCCATGCCGTATCGATCAAAAGCCAGAACTATGAAGCTACTTATGCTGAACAGAAGAGGCATAAAGACTTGTCACAGGGTTTCTCACTGTGCATTGCGGAGTGAGTTAAAAAGCATCTATCGAACCTAGGTATTACTAGATACGATAGCTGCAGACTTTGTTGCGAAGAAGAGGAAACAGAAGAAAATATTTTGTGTTACTGTGATAATCTCGCCAGAGTCAAACTTCGGTACTTATCCACTGCCTATCCACTTACAACGAAATTAAACAACATCTCTCCAAAGTACATAATGGCGTTTTTAACTTCTACTTGTGTATGGAACTAAAGTGGGTATGTCACCATAATTCCCAAAGGACACAGTGACAAGTTTCCAACCCGTTTTAAAATCTAATCTAACTCATGTTAAGGCAATTTGCTAAAATTTCGTTACACTCTTAAAACGCATAGAATTTCTATTGTATAATAGATGAATATTGTTAAATAGTAACATTTTAATTTAAACAAATTCTCATTTAAAACAGTTACGTATAACAAAGGATCACATAAATTTCATGTTAAATGGCACAATACATAATAAAAACCAAATATACACCTGTTTTCATTTCAACAAGATCCAAATAATAAACAAAGTTGTGGCACTAAGTCGATTTTAGTGAAGTCTTTTGACAATTCAAACAATATTGTCCATATACCAAAATGTCCAAATAACCAAGAGATTTTTATTATTAATAATAATGTAAAAATAAACTATAACTTATATGATATTTGACTTACAGTAAATATCATCTATTTTGTCACTAAAATGATATTGAATATGCTGTCGAATATCTACATTCTTCTTATATACATTTTAAGAACACCAAAGGAGACGATATGCTCACCTATCTATCATTCTTATCAGCGATTTTCCAACAAATGTGTTTACAAAACTCTATATTAATGGCCTAAGTATAAAATAAATAGAAAATACGATAATAAAATCCACAGAAAACGTAACAAATGTTAGTGTTGTTGGCTTTTTGTTCGTCTTGTTGTTATTTTTGATATTGTTCTTCTCTTCATCTTCAATACTTGTTTTGGCCTTTTTTAGTGCTACAAGCCAGCACTTTGGCGATTGTTTATTTTATTTTTAATGTGTGAACTAACTTAATTATTGAATACTTGCGTGGATGAGTGTAGTGGTTTAGTTTGTAATTGATATAATTAATGTAGTGCGACAATTCACATGCTATGTGATATATTCACTCTTTAGTGGTTATTTCTTATTTTTAATAGTTTATAGGTAAGTATATTTGTAAAAATTTTGTTATTAACTTTAAATTAATTAACATGAATTTATAATTCATTAATTAGCATTTAATAGTGTTCAAAATTAGTTAATTATTCAAACAACCCGCTCAGAGAAAGAGATCACAAAGAGATTTCGATATGTTAACTTTACAAATCAAATAAAAGAGATCAAAAAATTAGATCATCATGTTTTAACTATGATATATCAATCTGAATAAATATTCAAAAACAGTGAGTTTTCAATGAGACCACTAACAGTATTGTTTGATATTCCCTGTGTTAATATTCTCAGTTTTTTAATTTCTTAAGAAACTGAGAAACTGCTGAGACTAAGGTTATCATATAGTAGACTTAACATAGACTTCTTTGTAATTTCTCAAAATAACAAATAGTTATTGCAACTCAATTTTTTATTTATGTTTGAAAGCATTGTGACAAAAACTAATATTATTATTATAACGTTATTATAAATTAATATCTTACATTATATTAACCAATCATATATTGGTATATGATGTTTTTTTTTTAATTACTCGAATATCCACACACTAGTATAGTGAATTTCTGTAAAGAATGGCAGTGACCCAACAACAAACTACATGGTTAATTTATTATACGTATAACCAATCATATATTGGTATATGATGTTTTTTTTTTAATTACTCGAATATCCACACACTAGTATAGTGAATTTCTGTAAAGAATGGCAGTGACCCAACAACAAACTACATGGTTAATTTATTATACGTATAACCAATCATATATTGGTATATGATGTTTTTTTTTTAATTACTCGAATATCCACACACTAGTATAGTGAATTTCTGTAAAGAATGGCAGTGACCCAACAACAAACTACATGGTTAATTTATTATACGTATAACCAATCATATATTGGTATATGATGTTTTTTTTTTAATTACTCGAATATCCACACACTAGTATAGTGAATTTCTGTAAAGAATGGCAGTGACCCAACAACAAACTACATGGTTAATTTATTATACGTATATAAGAGTAACATATGTCATCAATACAGTAAGCTAGAGTTCACTAATCGAATGTCTGCCGCGAATAATTTGGAAAATGCTCTGGAGTTATGGGCAACTTATCATATTA